AGAAATCTTCCACGAAATGGACTTCCTCACCAAGTTGGAATCCATCCTCATCTGAGTTAGCCCTGACAATCAACGACACTACAATTGGAAACATGACCCCCTGTACTCTTTGACTGATTCATACTTGTGACTATCATTTTATCCTGAGGTGAAATTCCACCAGTAACAAACTTCAAGGGGCTCTATTCTCAGAAGAAAATCTACTCCAGCGCAAGATATTAACCCCAATTAAGCACAGACTTCTCATCCTTAGATTGTCCAAGTGTGTTGTGACAGGGGAATCCAAACCGAAGAACATCTCTTAGCGCACATTATTCAATGGACCCCCTAGACCACGCACAGCAAGTGAAACATCTTTGCGAACCAAAGTACAATCAGGGGCCGTCCGTGGGGTTAATAGACGAGGGGGGGGGGGAAACTGTGACCGGAATGATGAGTCACAGAGAGACCGCCAGGCCGTGCGGCGCGCCGTCCCCCTACCTGGTCTCATCGGTGCTAAATGCCTCCTGGCAGACGGGACCAGACCCGGTACACCTCGGCAACGGGCGTGGCGTGGTTAGAATCTTGGTACGACAGTAATGAATTAAAACTGCCAGCGAAATAAGATTAGGGCCTACACTTGGTCGGGATTATTTCTGGTCCAGATGGTATTTTTATTAGAATGCAAAGAACACGCGAGAAGGAAAACCAGGTTGGGGAGTCTGCATGGTTGGTGTAGTGGCTTGAGTCCTCGCCATCCACCTCTGCAATCCAGGTTCGAATTCCACCTAGGTCAGCATGCGGAATGGGTTTTCAGTTCCTGACTGATTCCATGGGTTTTCCCTGGAATATCATATCCACGGTCTTTCTCCCGCCTCTAAAACTGGACATTTCTTCCTTGTCACTTCATCCTGTAGTTGGCGCTACATGCGCTGTTGGATGAACAGATAAAATGACATATAATTCCTCCCTTACCAAATCATTTCAACTTATTTCTGATTGTGTTTATGTCGAATCATGGGCTCCATGGTCAAAACTCCTACAATTGGACCGCGCCCAGGCTGACACCATAAAACTACCCACGTTCCCACCGTAGCGCGTTCCCCGTCCACGGCCGGCGTTACAAAAAGGCCGGAGGATCGATTGTAACGTCACACAAAGATGGCCAGTTTCAACACCTGAAGCCAAACACAAGTCGGCGCCTTTAAGCCCCAGCCGAAAACACATATGGTGGGAGATATTTTTCAATAATTGTAAAACTCTCAGGCTCTGCCGACAGAGAAGGACACGCTGACGTACAGATTTATTTGCCGTGGCGAGTCGGTGCAGAGGCGACGACGGATATACAGCGCAGTATTTGGAGATGTTGACACGTCACTTTGTGTGATGGCAATGAACCGCGGACGCGCCTCACAGACTGAAAGCAGGGCACTGCGAACATGGGAAAAAAATCACTGCCGCATATCGTCGCGAATTAAATAAAGCAACTGTTGTCACTGTATTCCAGCATTTTAACCTCAACCGTACGATACAATGAAAGTGTTCATGGTAGAAAGAAGGAACGTTTTAAATCAAAGTTCTTCCAATCACGACATTTTCTCAGAGCACACTCAGGGAATGTTCTGGAAGGTTTTTTTTTAAATTATTTCAAACGATTATCTTAGACCTCGTAAGAAACCCAAAAAAAATCTGTAGCAAGCGGACCGTTCCATCAAGTGTGGCAGTGGGGAGGCCCCTACAGTTGACCCGATGGGATCTCCCAAAAGGCTACTATCACCTCTGCATTGAAAACGCACACTCGACACCAGCTGAGATCGCACGAATCAGAACCAGACTCGGCCATGCCCATCAGGCCACGCAGTGTGAAGTGGCAGGGGAACAAGACCTCTGCTTCCAATCTCATTCCCGACCCTGACCTTGGGGTTAACCCAATCTCGCATGTAGCGGTGTTACAAAAAAAACCCCGAGATGCTCCCATACAAAGCGACACACCATGAGATGCCAGCGCGGTTGGGCGTCGAGTTCTTCCTTTTCATTGCCTTACCGAACAATACATATCTCTCCCTGACTCCCTGTATACACAGTCTCACGCCAAAAAAAAAATTTATCCACTGACATTTTTTAACACCCAGCCAGAGTTAATAACTGAAGCGGTTCTGGAGAGTCTCCACCTGGGTCGAATGGCTGATGACATCTGGCGAATGTGGTGTCCTTTGAGCGCCGCAGCGTGATACCAGACCGGTATTGGATCATGCTGGGGGGCTGGGCGGTGGTACTCTCGTAATGCGCTGCTCAGCTTGGGAGAAAGCTTCGCAGTGACCCGACCAAACCTGGGCTCGCAATCATCGAACTTCTCGAGCATAATTCTATTTAACAGACTGGAAAAGACTTGGAGAGCGACCATGCCAATGTTGTTGAGGGTGATAAGAACAAGACATTGGAGCACAGAGCTTGCTCTGTGGATGGAGATTGCAACCCAAGCTGGCATCAATGAAGATGATTGGTTTTCGAGTAAAGACTAGTCAGAAGATAATTCAGTAGACTTAAATATTGACCCCCCGTGCACTCTGGTTCCATTGCGCTTTTTAAACAAGATGCCCAACTTGCTGCCTACCTAGTCTTTAAATCCATTTTTACTTTGAAATTTTAGTTCCAAAGTGCCAATTCTCCAAGTCCAATGCATTGCAAACTCTCGTGAAAAAAGTTTCTGTTTGTCCCCTGTAAATCTACACAGCTGTTTTTAATATTCCACAGCAGACGCGACCGAGCGTTTCCAAATACGGCTCCCGTTTAACGTCAGAAATTCCCCGGGCTAATCCCAACTAAAATGTGGCGTGTATCAACGCGACGGCAATCCTCTCCCTGCCGTCCGATCTGGCATATCCCCTCCATCGCCAGCTCGAGCCGCTGATTGAAGGGGTAAGGTTCCAACATCTCCAACAAAAAAATGTTCCGCATCTCGCGCTCCTTCCTTGGATTTGGAGCAAAGTAGACGGCTCGGATAGGCAAACCGAGAGAGAAGAAGGGCTCACTCTTCGTGCCGATCATTCCCCGATATTTCTGTCCCCGTTTTCCGTATAACTCTCTCCTTTCCATCCACGAGATCGCTTCACACCTTGCACCTAGCACGCGTCCGGGATCAAGTTCAGGTTGGGTGTAATAAAGTGATAATTCCCCCAGCATGTTTTCATCCTTGACATCGGAATGCGGGAGGGGATTTTTTAATAAAATTCCAATGTGAAGTTTCTGCACTTTTTAAAAATAGCCAATAAAGAATCAACACCTACCTGTATTAATAACTGTATTTAGCTTCATTTAAATTGAATGAAAATATCCCTCTATCGCGAATATTTTTGGGACAGTCCTGCAAAATGTATAAAAAAATACGGCTGTTTTTCTTTTGTCTTGTTTTGTCTAAATAGTTTGAGCATGAAAGGTAATAGGTGAGATTTCACTCATTAAGCCCAAGTGAGGCTTATGTTTGGAAAATTGGAACACAAATTTGAGACAGTTTTTTTTCTCTTTAACAGATATACCAGGTACAACTCCATTTGAGGACAAATATTAACATCTTTCCTCGATCAAGTGGCTTGTGCACCAGGCTGATCTGACAGGAATTTCGCTTTGCTTGCTCACCTTGATATGTACATGTACAATGTACACTGTACCGAATTTGCGACCACAGATTTTTTTGGCGCACGGTATAACCCCCACCCACCTTAATTTTCGACGCCGGCAACCAGATAGAACCTGACGGCACTCTGATTCAATTTGTAATCCGAGTCTGCTTACAAGTCCGAGGTCGCGAACTGGATATTTTGATAAGATTTCCTGGGGGTCCCCTGGCGCATTTTTGCCACAGACTATATAGACAGCGACTGGCCGGCAATAGTTGTTTTGGAGGGTAGGATGGGGTCACTACAGGGTGACACCAAAAGGGGGGGGAATTGGAGAAAAAGTGACCCCTGGCGTGTTCAGTTGTAATTTTGTTCCAGCCTTTGGTTACATCGCTTCTTGATGCATACGTGTACTCAACCCAGCATTGCTTCATTGGGGTGTCCTCTCACTGACCGCATTTGCATGTTATCCAGTGATACCCAATATTGGGGGAGAAATTTATTTGTTGGTTCCAAGATATAAGTAAGGCCGGCTGCGCTGATTTTCCCCACGGTGATGGAGTTATTGACTGAACTAGAACTACTCAACTCCGCTGGCAATTTGTTTGCATTTCATTGATTGAATTCAGTGCAGTTGTAAGCCCAGAATTAGTCATTTAGTCATTGGTCACTCACGTATCCTTGATCCTACCTTCGTTAATGTCTTGGTAATTACGATCCTAATGAAGTTCCTGTTTGTGATCCATTTCCAAGCACTGCCCCACTCCCCAAGACTCCTAGGCCATTATTTTACACCCACAAGCTTGACCACAGTTCAGGAAGTTATACCACCGAGCCTGCATCCTACTCAGTATAATCACCCCCAAAATGTTTCATGGTCAGTCTTCCCGCTAGTCTTTCCTCCTCCTTCAACTCAGTCTTTCTCGCTAATGTCCAATGATATTAGTGCGTGTTTTCCTAATAAAACATCGTCGACCCAAGTATCATTGTGGCCGTGTCAGATCTCAACTTTAACTCAACTCGTTGTCGGGCCACGCTTACCAAATTTTATGCCACAAATTTTCAACCTTACACAGCGATGGTTTGACAGTAGAAACAAGGGGAAAGACAGTCTTCTTCTTCGTGCCTCTTTAACATTTATCACTATCAGTACACAAGAAGTGATAATCATGCATCTATAAAGAATGGGGAAATGCAACTTTGATGACCAACAGGGGACCATGCATATGGAGACTGATGGATAGGTTGTTTACGACGGGAATTTTCCTGCAGCAAATCTATCTCTCTTACATGGTTACATTGGTGTTAGCTCTACGGTTTGTTATAAGACAGTGAGAAACCCTAATGCCCACATTGGATTGATTTCATTATATCTTTCCACCTTTCTGACTCATTCGTCGACAGATGTGAGGTACGTCCCGGTCCGGAGTTCATCCTCCGGCGGTACAAGTTCCACTCTGACTCCAGCTTCAGCCTGCATCAGTTCTTCTATGCCGACAACCAGTGTCGGCAGCCGGCCTATTCCCTCAAGATCCGGGGAACCATCGCCCTGGGCCAACAGGCGCTGCTCTTAAGCGGTGCCACGGAGGCAGAGTACCTGGTCTCCAAGGTGACCATGGTGGTATACGATGAAAGCTTCGGCAGGACTCTCAGGACGCAGGTGAACAGGACGTGCCCCGGGTTCTTCAGGTCCACCAACCATCTCCTGGAGCTCTACCAGCGCTACGTGGTGGTGGACTATGAGCAAGAGTCCTCCCTCACTGAGTGCACCGAGGCCATGAGTTTCGCCATGCATGAGCTGCAGATGGTCAGGCATGAGTTCCACTCAGAGTTCAACACCAGGATCGCCAAGTTTGTCTCCTGGGAGGAGCTCTTCCTCGGAGACATCCATCCGGTCAGGAGCGAAAGGATTCTTTACAGGCCAAAGGTGTACCAGTCTCCGCTGAGAAAATATCAGGTAAGAGACTGCATGTAAGACAAGATAATTTGGTTGTGAAAACATCTACCCGAAGAAAGCTGATTAATTGCTGAAGACTCCTTGATGTTAATCACTACTGATGAGGCAGACACTCCACTGGATAGAGATATAAGACACTACCATGATCTCACTACACGGTCTAGATAAAAGTTAACAGAAGTCTTAAGAAAGCTGGTGAGATGGGTGAAATCTGTAGGCTTACAGATCAATGAAATAGTGTGTGCAATACTCATTCTGTTTCAAATATCTGTACTACAGTGTAGATGTAACCATGATGTTACCAAGGATGTAGTCAGAAAAGACTGCAAGGGACCAGAATTACATGTATTGCATTTTTCTGTTTCCAGCCACTTTGCACATGTACCTCTGACTCTTTCCCCATCAATGCAGGGAAACTCTGCCTTAACACGCAGCCTTAAGATTGCTGTTGATCTCGGCTTTAAATCTATCGGGAAGTCACCTTGGCCCATGCAGAGAAGTTACGGGCATATTGTGGGATCCCGACACAATGCCAATGTTATGGCAGCGCATGATGACTTTCTCACATGTTGATACAGGTGTTGCAGACAATGGACAAAACTCAACTACAAACACATCCGATATAATGCGGCCGTTGCTGGAACTGTTTGGGAGCTGCAGGGACTTGTCCTAATACTGAAAGTGCCTATTGTTGCTTGCAAACTATGGAATGTAGGGCATTCATGCATGGAGCTCGATCAAGCAGATTGGCTTATTTGATGGACAAAAGCTCCATTATAACAAAATTCATATCAAAGAGTACAATACAAATCTGTGAATTCCAGCTGAGATGGGAGATCAGCGTACTAATAGGTACAATGTATATGCCTTGTGCATGACTTGAAGAGGGCGCTCTTGCTGTAGAACATGACTGGTTGCCCAAGGATGGGACAATGTAAAGAGTAGAGAGGAACGTCACTAGCAGGAAGTATAGTGTGCCTATATCAGATCATGTGAACACAAACCCTTAGTATCCACTGACAGCAGTGTAATGCTGGCATCTGAACTGCCACACATTCGACCAGTAACCCCCCCCCCCCAGTGGCATCCTTTTAACTATTTCAGAAGAAGAGGGCGACTTTGTATGAGCACAGGGTCCAAGATTTTCTCTAATGGAGAGTACCTCCTAAAGTAGAGAACCTAGTTGATGAAATCAAACTTGGGACAAAATTTACTGGTAGCCTCTTTCTTTTGCAGGTGAAATAAACAACATCATTTGTCCAGAACTGCTCATTCTGAAGCACAGAGCTTTTTCTCTGGCCACAAGGATGGGTGGAACAAGAGATATTGATTGCTCATATCTGACCGCAAAAGTATTAAAGATGACCCTGACAGAATTTTTGAGCACCAACGTTTTACCATAGAGCAAGGTCCTTGCTCTATGGTTTCACATGACTCGCTGGTAGTTTCAATACATAGTGCACTGAGCTGTGACTGATTTGAGCTGACATTTTTAATTAACAACGACACTGGCAGGAATCCTTGTTAATAGATTGAATATGCACCTGCTTTATAAGTGTTAGTCACTCTTCGACAAATAATGGATGATAATGAAAAGTTTCTGTGCTCAGGAGTACTGAGATGGAGTTTAAAATGAGAAGAAATTCTTCACTTAAAGAACATCTTCCCACTTCATACCAACAATAGAGCCACAGACATCCAAGGAAATGTCATTAAAGTAGCATCAAATGGACAGTTATTCACGCATATGTCGCACCTATGCCCTAAGACACCTAGATCTAAACTATTCTGTTGAAAAACAAAAATCATGACACAAAATTCAACACAAAAAGGGGGAAAAATGTGAATATTGAGCCCAAGGTTGTCAACACAGTTCAAAGCACTTCAAGTCTCAACACAAACCGAAACCTGACATCTTTGAAATTTCGATACGTGATACATAGCGGAGCGGTAATAAGATAATGCTCAGACACAATGGACATGAAATCCATCTGCCATTTCTACTATTGTCTCCTAATCCAGCAGGCCAAATGATACACACCCCTAACACCGTTGCTATTGAGACATCAGGCTAGAATCCCCACCGACTTTTTCTATGTCTCCCTGCTGAGAATTAAATAAGATGAAAAAGATTTTTTTTCCCCCTCTCATTTTGATGATTTGCCCGAGGTCCTCCATTAACAAAGGACCGGGCGTCTGTTGACACAAAGACATCCACGTCGCGTATTGTCCCAACGCTTCCCTGTCAATGGGCAGGCACTTGATGGTTTTAACGGCATGGGTAGCTCAAATGCTCCTCCGAGAGAATAAGAGAGAACAAGAGAGAGAGAGAGAGAGAGAGAGAGAGAGAGAGAGAGAGAAAGGGAGACTAAATGGATAAAGAATTACAGAGGGTGAATATTAGATGAATAACTCGCCTTGGGGTCTAGCTCTCAGTGCGGTTGAGTCCGGGTGAGCGTGTCTGCTTATAAGGTCGCGGGGATGATGTCTCCTCATGTCATCCTCCTTCATCTCCTGGTGCTGATGAATTTTATTGCATAAGTCCGTTTCCTGAAGATGGAAGACCTCTGAAGGGGTGTGGCCTCTCACAGGTGAGGGAGGGGTTGAGGCTACCACTCAGTGTCTGGCAACTCAAGCTGCACCAAAAAAAAAGAAGAAAAAAAGACAAAGAGACAATTAACCACCGACAGAAACCCTCCACTATATTCATTTTTAATAATGGTATGTTTGAGGCTGAATAAAAGGGAAAAAAAGGTTACCACTAGCCTTAGTTTTCTTTTGAATGTAAGAAAAATCCCATCCTTTTTATCTGTCTAAAAACCACGTGCTTCCTTTAAAACGCCTGTTTAATTTGAAAGCTTTGAATCCTCCTGGGTAAACTTAGTGTGTGCTACTAAATTAAAGGACGTGATTCAAGAATTTTGAATGCTCCCCACCAATGCTTCACACAGCAGATAACTTTTGCATCGCATTCAAAAATCTGCAGATTTCAATTCCTAACCAAAAATGGTTAGCCGAGCACAATCAAACGGGCAAAAGAGACAGAATCTTTTCCACCCTCTGGTGCTTTCTTTGTTACTCAGGTGTGGATCCAGGGGTCGAAATTCCCCCCCCCCCGCAAAAAAAAAATTAGAAAATAAAAAATGAAGAAAATAATCAAAAATAACTTAAGTGTACCAATGCCATAACGTATGTCATGTACAATATTGCATCATCATTTCTGCTTGTCCGCAAAAATGAGACATCAAAAAAAAACAAAAAACAAAAAAAGACTCTGGCGTTGTCCCCTTAAAAAAAATTACTGTCAAACTTCTCTCCCTTCTTCAAAGTGACACTGTTACACCAACGCCGCTGACCTTTACTTTGTGTCCAATCATACATTTCATTATTGCATCCTGCGGTGTGTGATGCAATTAGAATTGGCACTGACAGTATATGCCACCAGCGGTCAGCACAAAATGAAGCTGGACTGGTAGATGAAACCAAAGGCGGGAAAGATTATGGACAAATCTCATCAGGTTATCATTACAGATACCAATGGAGACCGTGGAGTTCACGTAGATAGGTATTACTATCAATAAGAGAAAGAGAACAAGCACCTGCTATTATTTTGCCGTGCTAATTAGTCTCATAATCTCTCATGGGCCATGGACCTTAATAAGAAAATTCCAATTAAGTTCTCATTACACGGAGTGAGTAGCAATGGCTACTTTGGCTCGGACCTTCCGTAGGGTGCATTGTTCCTTCAAAGACGGGCCCCTTGTCAAATCAAGATTGAAAATATTATCTGTGAGTAATTGGCGAGCCCGAATGCCGGCCAGTGTGCGAAACTACCAGTGAGCCCTGTGCTAACTCATTAGAGATGACTCATGGGTGCTTTCTGCTCCAATGAAATTAGGATTGTTCCCTCTACCGCCGGGTAGCTCTGGTTTTAGTCTGGCTATTGTGGATATTTATGAGGGTCCAATTTGGTAATTTAGGTCGTTTTTATTGTCTGGGTGACTCACAATTACAGGAGACCGTATTTGGATGGTTTGAATAATCTAACAAAGGCAGATCAGAATTTTCTGACGGCAAGTAAGAGATACATGTATCTAGAAATGACAATTTAACTCTTAATACGTAAACAAATCAAAGACAATTATGTCTAAATCGCTAGAGTTAAGCCTACAGAATGAAAACCAGAAAAAAAACCCAACCAAGTCAAACTAACTTCAGAAACAGGTCAAAACTCTGAGATGATATCTAATCGGAATCAAAACTGCTCGATAATTTTAGAGTCAAAACACAACAAGCCGCCTGTTTTCTTATTCTCAGTTGCCATTGGCTCCGTGCACGATCAATTTGAGGGCGCCGCTGCCTGGGCACCTCTGAAAGCCAGATGCCAGCATTGTGATGGAAAAGCGAGCATCGATTTGAAAGTGCCGAGTTACCCACATCAAGTTTCCTGGTTAAAATTTAGCTCGAGATCCACCAAAATGAGAAGGAACCTTGTGCCAGTCCAGAAAAAGCCAATGAAATGTCCCATCTAGCAGTAAACACGCATTTGCATTTGACCACTGGAGGCTCACTGCATGTCCGCAGCCAATAAACCTTTTGAGAAAGATTGCCACCATCGTTGGCGGTGCCTAACCAGCCACGAACAGAGGAATTGGCATTCATTCTCTTGAAGAGGTCACAGATGTCCTACTTATGGAAATCTGTGTGGTAGGAGTAACGACTGGAGGGTATTCTAAGTGATGTTCCTAGGCCCCTTGGCACATTACCCTAGATTCTGCCTTGCCTGCCGGTAGGTTACCGGTACCACCACCCTATGCTCAAGCAAAAAAAAAAAGACACATCTTCCAATTTACTAGAATTATGTCTTGGATCAAAAAAATGTGTCTAAAGACTAAATAGCAGTCTTGCATTAGCCTTGTTAGAATGTTATTCCCCCAAGTGCTGCACGGCATAGCAGACGGTTTCGTGTGGTATCGTTTGCGCGACTGATTCCAAATGCT